GGTGCTCCGACCCCCCCACCGCAGGAAAGGCCGCTTCTCCCCTCCTTGGCAGGTGGGAAACGAGGCAGGGCCCAGGGTGGCGGAGGAAACCCGCGGGAGAGGGAGGGAGTGAGAGCAGCGGTGCTGACCCCCCCCCTCACGGCTGATCAGAAAGAATAAAGGAAATTAGCCTAAAATTCACGTTGTCTTTCATCCCCTTACTGCAGTGCATTTATAAATAGACCAGCCTCTGGGACCCAAACACCCCTGACATCCCCAGATTTCAACTCCAAACTCCATTTGATATATTCTGACTTGAGCAATATTGGCCTTTCACAGCCTTAGGTTCATATACACCCACCCGCCACAAACCCGTCAGCCTTTTCTCAAAGAGAACCAGAGCACGCTCTTAGCACAAAATTTTATTTTACCCTGACCCATGCTTTTTACAGTTTATACACATTTTACAACTAGAAACCAAGGGTTCCAAGATCACTGTGCGATAACCCACTTCACTTCATGTTCAGGATCGTTATAGCCCTTAGTAAAACATAACATACATAAACTGCAACCAACTCGTAGCAGGACAAAAAAAACCCAGTTAATAGAACTAACCCTCTCTCCCCTATGGATATCTAGGATTTGGAACACCACCTCCTGTGTCCAAGACAGATGCAACCTTCCCTAGACTGGGAAATCAGCCCCCTCTGAAGTGTGTACTTAGAACAAGCCTTTAAAGAGCATTTCTTCATACTTGCATATGCAGTGAAAATGAGGTATAAGTTAGTTGCTTTCCAAAGGAATATTCCAAAACCGTAAATTTAAACAGAAGTGGATGTTAGTGTTTTGACCTAAGTCCTCTCACATGTTACTTTTCTAGGCAATTTCAGTAATAGCAATGAACTTAAGGTGTCTGAGCAGACGTTAATGTTTCCACAAAACGAGCATACAAGATTGATATCAAAGATGACCAAACCAGAACATTTTAAAGTCTACGTTACCTTCCAACAGCCACTTTATTTTCTAAGGCTTTGATGATTAAGACACAGTAGGCCATCTGATTCTCACGTGATAGAAAAGGTATCACTAAATGGGAACAAAGAATTCAAAAAACATCAATACAAATATTTACATCTACTTTTGTAAAATATAAAAAGCTAATACTCTGACAAAGGCTTTTATAACTAAAACAGTTAATGCTGACTGCATGTTAAAATGTCCCATTTACCTCAGCTCCTCATGAAAACCCAAGACGGTCTGAGACACACTCAAAACTGCACCATGTCAGCCCTCACGGAGTACCAACTCACACATTACACAGGAAAAGTCACTTTCAAAAGCACTGGCAGCAACAGGTCCAAATAAAAGTTCAGATTTTTTTTTTTCCTAAGAGTGCTTCATGTGTCTACCAAGACTGTAAAAAAAAAAAATGGTGAAAATCAGCAATTTATCTCTTTGCTGCAGTAGATAAAAGTTGAATAGAGTTTCTAATCTTTGACCATCATAAAAATTTGGTGGGTTTTTTTTTTTAAAGAAAAGGCTGAACTACTAACATTCACATATGATGACTAACATGTAGCAAATCATTAAGTTCCAACAAGTGCTTTTATATGGAGGGTGGTTTTGGGTTTGGGTTTTTAAACTTAGAGCAACCAACCATGCTTCAATACAAAGGCAAAGTGTTAAATTCTGAGGGTTTTTTAAAAAGAAAAATGGTTTCACCTTGGTTTCCAAAACTGAAACTAAGACAGTAAGAGGGTCGTTCCTTCCCACCTTCTTATAAAATAAGAAAGTCTCTTATTAAAGCAGAAGTTTCTGTTGGAGACAGGGAGTTAAGACAAATTTTAATGTTCCTGCGCTATGGCTTTATTGAAATCCACAGAGTAACTGGCTGAATCTCCAACTGAGCTGGCTCTTCCAGGACCATACCCTTGCCTGTGTAACCCCAGTGACTAACTCTTCTCCCAATGAGGAATAAAGCCCTAACCTGTAGAAAATTTGTATTACTGAGAGGCTTTTCCCCAAAAGCCATTTCTCATCATTCACATCCTTCGTCTCTCTTGGGCCACTGAACGCACAAGCGGGAACAGAGCTCCCCAACACAAATTACAACGTGCACAGACGTAAAAAAACCCTCTCACGACAGAGGCAAGGGTATGATAAGCAAAGAGCTTCCACTGCCGAGCCTTTCACATGAGTACCTACTACAGACACAGTTCTGAGATGTGGCAAAATATTCGCTGTCTGGAGCGGAGAGGAAGAGGCAAGCTGCTTCCCCCGATTCCCAGCATTCCCAAGGGTCCAATTCAAATGTTTCCTCTGACATTACCAGAAATGCAGCTAAACTTCAAGCCACGTGGATGCTCTTTGACCAATACCTTGCTTAAGGAACGGCATGAGAAATACTTCGCAGCCACTGGAGACTTGCTTGAAAACTGCATGAAGTCACAGTACAATTTTGCAAGAAGTCTCAACCTTGCTACTTACACACAAGAACCATGAGAGCAGCAGCAATTAATTTAAAAAAAAAAATCATTTTTCTGCATTCTTCTCAACTGTTTTAGCGACTGTTAAAAATCTGCATCCAACTCTAGACTATGGAATAGTTCAGATTGCTGGCGTTAGAAGTTAAATGCATTTAGAAGTAAAAGCAGAGCTGCTGTCTCTGGACAGCTCATGAGACAACACAAGCAATACACAAGATGGAGCAGTAATTTATAAAGTCTCACCCGAGTCTCACGCTCTGCTTGGAGGACTTAGCGTGAAACAGTCAGGCTAATCCGATTTGTCTAAGAATAGAGAATTATCATCCTACCACGTTCAGATGTTGTGAGTACAAATACGAGAAATTCCTGTCAGAAGCAGCCACCAATCATGCTGCAGACAGCAAGCCACTGCTGTTTTGTTATCAAAAACTAACTCTTGAGATTTTAGAAAAGCTCCTATTAAGAACACTTAAGAAAGACTTCTGACGTCATTTTCATCGGTATGAAGAGTTTATGAATCAAAAGCTATTTTAGCAAAACTCATGCCTTCCAGTGCTGTCTCACGAGGTAACAATCATCATTTCTGCTACTGTTTACAAGTAAAATGGTCCACCGTTTAGCAAAAACTTAAATAAAGGGATAACTGGAAAAAGATTTTAAATATTGCACAAATAATTTAACTGCAGACAGTACAAGACACTTAAAGCACTGATTTTCTGTCAGCATATGAACTCTATTATATAGTCACCTCTTCTATAATACAGGGTTGTTTTTTTTTTTTACAAGACATTTAAATCCAGCATTTACATAAACAATTATCTTTACAATCTGTTATCATATAGTGTTAGGAGGGAATTAATTTTGTCTTTGTTTTAAAAGTTCATCTATCTGAGTCTTGTACATGTTTTTCACGTCTTCAAGATCTAGACGGAGCTCTTCAGCTTCCTCTGCCTTCTCTCCGTACATCTGAAGAATCGTATTGTATCTTTGATCCAAATCCTGCAAGGACACGGAGTTTGTTATCTGACTGCTTTTCACCTTACAGTGGCTGCTAGGAGAGCATTTTACACTACCAGGAAAAATAACTTATTTTATCAAAGCGTAACTACTTTACAGGGAAGCACGTAGTAAACTCTTCAAAATTACTTAATGCTTCACCTCTCTGAATATGGCTAGATTCACATTCTAGGTACAAAAGGAAGATACTCTGAAGACAAAGATCCTTGACTACAAAGAGTTAGTGCTGGCTTCACGGGACTGAAGCACCCTGGAGTTCAACTGCTCTAAGCGTTACCACACAGCTCGCAAACTGCTTTAAGTTTTACCACAGGAACAACCACTTTGTGAAATGCTTCATCGGGAAATTTAACTTTCGGGATTTACAGAACAACGATCATTTCCAGAATTATTCCAAAACGATTTCCAATATTTCAATTTAAGCTCTTAAACACTCAGAGGATTAAAATATTTGTCCCACTACCTGTATCAATACCACACACTCGTTCAGCTCTGCATCGAACTCTCATCAATCCATGCTGTTTATCAAAACACCCCCTTTACTAAAAAGGCCAATTCCAGACAAGTGGCTTAAATGAGAGAAACAAAAGTCCCATTCTCTCCCCGCTTTAGCACACCATCTGAAGCAGAGCACACACTGCTAACAGCAGCATTTTGAAGTGACTGCCGAGCCACGGAGCAGGCATTTTCAGATGCTACCAACCAAAACCCTCAGGCTCTTCGCTCACTTACGATTAGGGACAGATTTGAACACAACCCTAAACTGATAGGGGTATTCCTAAAAAACCCAAATATGTCAATTTTACATCAGATTTACCACAGAAATACACTTACCTTTAACTGCACACGCAATTTTGGTATTTCCTTCACTTTTTCTTCAAGTTCATCATTTTGATTTGTTAATTTAACCAGTTCTTCTGCCATTATTGATCGAGTTTTCTCAAGGTTTCCGATTTCCAGCTAAGTAAACACAACAATTAGGAGGAGGAAAGAATTTACCGTATTTATAAAAGACTGTATCAAAATATTTTGATACAGTAATTAAGGCTTTTTCTTAAGCCAGACTATGAAACAACACACCCTGGAAGCACTCTCACTTTCTTCTCAAATCTGATCAGTAGTTTGTTTGTTGGTTTGTTTTTTGGTTTTCTTTTTCAGATAAACAGGTTCAGTTTTCTGGATAGGTCCTTGCCAAAACAAAAAAGGAAGCAACAAATCCTTCTCTTGCCCTCCCCTACACATACCTCCAGTGGCTATCCTGTCAACAGAACTGTCACGAAAGGGGAAGAGTGAATGCACTCCGCTGCGAGGAGAGGGACCAAGCTTTTTGAATATAAAACTGATTGCATATATTTTTTTACGCAATATAAATATATATTGCCTATATTTCAACATATTTATAATATATAATATTGATTGCATTAGTATTTACACTTATAAATGCTGTGTTTGGTTATATAACTACAGTACCTGTAGATGTGAAATCTCTCCTTCTCTTAGTTTTAGCTGTGATTGAAGGTTTTCAATTATACTTGAACCTGCTCCCATCCTTATAGCATCATAAAGATTGCTTCCACTAGTAGCTATTGGCCCAAACGAGTGGTCGTGAGGATCATCCTACAAACAAAAGGTCAGAAAAGCTTGAAATTAAGACAAAAGTGTGCACCCTTTGGAATCTTCCCTCTCCCAAAGTGCTGTTTCATTCAAGATTTAAAGCGATACTGTTACTAGGCAAGCGTTTCAAGGCTGGAAGGTGAATAGGTAAAACTGGAGACAGCTCCTTACTGGCCAGTTCTCGTCACCTACACAACGACACCGATAAGGCACCCGCAGGAAAGCAGCGGAAGCAGCAGGCTTCACGCAGACCATGTGATACTGCCGAGGGAGCAGGGCTGTGGCCCAAACCAGGATTGCTAGTAAAAATAAATCCATTGATTTGACTCCTACTAGCGTGACTAGTTCTCCTAGATGAAATTAGACGCGTGAACTCAGCACCAATACAGGTGTATATTACTCTGCAATAACAGTCGCAGTTTCACGCTGTCTTTCGCAGATGTTTTACAGTCACAGACATCTCGTAAGCAGGTTTTACACGTTTCCACATAGGAATTGCCTCGTCTAAGGCCAATACACTCTTGAAGAGTCGTTTTCTACATTAATAAAAGTTCTTGAAGAAGAAAAAAAAGCAGATTGTCAACAAAAAAGACCAATATAACTGATGTATGATACCTGTGAGAGGAAAGATGTCTGAAGACCTGCCATGTCAACTCCACTTATGGAACTAGAGCGTGACATAGTTGGAGTACTTGAAACAGTTTCCACTGTAAATGACTTCCGATCCTTAAAAAAAAAAACAAAGAAACCCAATAAAACCCCCCACACACAATACCACCAGTCAGATAAAGAAAAAGGCTTACAGAATCCATCTTTCACCATCTTGTAAAGAACAGACTGCCCTTTTCCACCAACAACTACAGAACAGAATGCAACAGGTAACCTTTCCCCATCCCCCACCCCTAAAACACAGGAAAGTTCAACAATGAAGAACTACTGCGCTACTAACACCTCTAGCCTACGTTCAAATCCTCCAACTTGCCAGGAAATTCAGACAGAAGTTGCAAATTACACCAAAAGAATTTCTCTTTCAAGTAGCCAAGGGAGATTCAGAGGCAGTTTTGTATGCCCAAATGTATCACAAGAAGAACACTGTAAACCCAGAAGTATGTCTCCTTTTAGAATGCATGTCAATACTTTCTTTTTTAAAATAAAAAGTATATTAAATCAATTCTGAGATTTCTCACCTTACTGACATCCCTTCCAAACAGACTAACCTCTTTTTACAGGCAGTATCTGGAAGTATGCTAGCCTCTGAAGGATAAAGCACTTAGATTTTAGAACTCGAGATGGTAGGAAACCAGTAATAGAAACAGTTTTACTTGAGTATCAACCACTAATTAGCAGTAACAAAGTCACTGACTGTTGGGGACTGTTCTGTGGCTTGTGACTAGAAAGGGTGTGGTACAGCACACAGAGCCACCTGAAACCCAAAACGGGAATTCAGTGGAAGCAACGCTAGTCATCTAAGCTAAGAAACCAAGTGACTTCAGAAGAAAAAGAATCCAAGAACACTCAAAAAAAATAAAATCTGAAGATTAAACTAATCATTATCCATATTTTATCTTTTCTCAGGTTCAACAGACTATTACTCCAGACTCATTCCAGCGAGTACCACACAAGCGCTTACTTATTTTGCTGGAAACAAAAGGCAGCCCCGACAAAGGGCAAGCCAAGTCCCCGGTGCCCAGGCTGACAGTTTCGGGTTCCAGCTACCTACCAAAACAATGATAGCAGCAACAAGGCTGAACAGAAAGGTTAGATTTTGGTACCTTCTCCTTCGCTGCTTCTTGCACAAAAACCGCCTTCTTTCTTTCCTGTTCAACTTTCATCTTCTCCATTTCTAACTGAGTAGCCAGCAGTGTCTACAAAAATAAATACAACCTGTTAAACTCCTGCTAGCTCAGACTTCAGTGATAACATGTCTCACAGCTGAAGGAGGCCGTACCTTTTCTTTCTTTGCATCTTCCAAGGTTTTCGCATACTCATCTTTGAGTCCTTCTAATTCAATCTCATACCTACATTGGGGAAAGAAAGAGGTAGAGAAAGTCAGTAAATAAGTATTCTCTGTTTGCTTTAGATTCATATACTTTTGAAACAAACACAGCTTCAAGGCTTTAAAACATTATGAAAGCAACATACTTCAGACGATCTTTAGTAAAAGAAAACAAAACACCCTGAACAAGGCAACTTTATCAACGGCTGCCACCGCTTTGCACAGTCACATCAACACCCGAAAGCATCAAGGCTTCCAACGTGCAGAGATCTGCTGCAGACGGTGAGGTGAGAGATACATTACTCCATTTCACTACTATGTTAAAGAGACACTGTTAACCAAAAAAACCAACTCACCTACTGTTTTCATTTTCCATTTTCTTCAGTCTGTTTCTCTCCACTTCCAGCTGAGCCTGAAGGCGTGTATTTTCTTGCCTTAAAAGGCTATTCTGAGATTCAGTAGAAGACATCTGAATTTTATTAGACAGAAGTTCTTCTGTAGCAGCCCGTTCTCTCTCGGCAGCTGCTGCTAGAAGAGTCTGAGACTCACCTAACATTAAGTAAAGAAAAATATGGAATTTAACTTTTTTGATCAAACACGTATAATATGGGCCATTTACTTACGCATCAAAATAGAATTTGAGATTTTTTTTTATATGCAACTAATTTTTCTTTAAGAACAGAAAACATTTTTAAGGAAATGAAGTATTTTCCACCACACATAATATGGGCCATTTACTTACGCATCAAAATGGAATTTGAGATTTTTTTTATATGCAACTAATTTTTCTTTAAAAATGTTTTCTGTTCTTAAGGAAATTAAGTATTTTCCACCACACAGTTAGAGGATCAAGGCAATGCAGAACACTGAGACTTCATCCTCTTTCAGAATGCAATACACAACTACAGATTGCCTCTAGAAAGGAAGAATTTCTCTGGGTCCACCTTTGAGCATTTTATGCATTTTCACTTAAAAATCACAGACTACTACTGTATCAAATACATGCCTCATTACCAACGCAGACAGGGAAGTAAATGACTCGAACCTTCACAACACAGAATCTAAGCACCAGGCTGGACAAGTGAAAACGCTGGTGTACTTCCAGCGTCTCAATGTCCATCCTTCCTTTAGCTGCTGTAAGGACATGTACACCTTAACACCTGTATCCTTCAATGTCACATTACACTGCGGTTTAGAGAGAATCAGTGAATTACCTGTCCAAGAACCTTGGCAGAATACCCCACATACCATTTCCTTACAGAAAAACATTTTGTGCTCATCTCTCCTGACCCACCATCTACACTTTGGGCAAGTGCCAAGCTCTTTTCCTTTACTTTCAGCCATCTCACATCTTCATCAAGAGCCTCACTGCTCAGTAAAAGCTAAAAACATCTTACCAAGTCTGTCAGAAAGGTTCTTTTCCAGTTTTTCCCACGCAGAGGTTTGCGCTCCCAGCGTGGCTTGAAGATTTTCTATCTGACGGAGAAGTGGCCGTGTAGCAGATGTAACACTTTGACTCAGTTCTTGGTTCCGGCTCTCTGCTTCTTGCAGTCTCTGAAATCACAAATTAAATACAATTGAGCTTTAAAAGCATATGATAGATTAAAAGGTTTAATACAGAATTCAGCTAAACACATAGCAGTTGCTTTACATTCTAAAATTCCTATGTTCAGACTCACAGTAAAGTGTGAAATTTCAAGACAGAAGCCTAACATTTTTAGATACATGACAGAGCAACAGCCCTGAAATTTTCATTTCAAGAGCCCTCTGGACACCACTTGAAAGATTTTGGCAACAACCTGTCTGATTTCTGGACCTTAAGAACAAGAAATATATTCTCAAGGAGCAGCCTAAAGAGTAATTCAGAACATATTTGCTGGCAATTTTAGAGGACTATTACAAACTTAATGGCTGTACTTTGTCTTATACTAAAATGACAGCATTACACTTACAAGGCATCATAAAAATAATGATTTTGGTTTCAATATATGATTAAAAAAACCATTTCCTTTAACATTTTTATTATTGTTCTACACAGGACAAACACAGCAGGTAACCAGGAAACCAAAGCCGCCTCTTCAAGCTATTAATGTCACACTAGCTTTCCTTTTCAGTGTTTAGGAGCCCTCCTTGCAGACACAAGCTGGCACCATCTATTTGCTACAGCACCTGTTGTAGTTCACCGATTTCCTGGCGTAAATAGTCTTCTTTTCTTGCTGCCTGCTGCTCTGCACGCTGCAGCGCTAGCCTCAGGTCCGCCACCTAAATAAACAAGACATCAGCACTAATCTCTTGCCAAAAGGTACAGAACCACCTCTTCATCACTACAGTCCTACACCGTTTCGAGCGCTGTTAGACAGGGTATGTGTGTTTACAAGCTAAAGGCTGAAGTTTCGCACGCACACAGCCAGTTACGCTCATTCATCTCACTACAAATCATGTCCAACTAAATTTCTTCAACTTTGCCTCACGGTAAGAGCACTACAAACTTCACACAGAGCCTGTCAAAGTCCCTTTATTTAGACAAGTAGAATTAAAAGTATTTTTAAATAAAATTAAATTCTAAAGCTTAGCCCAACTACCACTAAAGACTGAACAAGTTCACAGGAAAGAAATCCCTTGGGTATTTGCTAAGCACACAAAAATGAGTTCCACCTCATGTTGCACCTGGTGCATTATGTCAGGTGCACGCACCGTCCAAGCACATTCAGCTCCTCCACGAAAAGTTTTATTTGCTGCATTTAAGACTCACCTGAATTGCCAAAGCTTCTTGCTGCTGCCGTGCCTCATCCTGGGCTTTCTCCAGAGCTAATCCAAGCTCCTCCTTTGCCTTCATCTCCTGACTCAGGGCTGCTTCTTGTGCCTCGCTGTCCTTCGTAGCATTAGCTTTATGAAGATCTGCAAGTTCCCTGAGGAAGAAAAAAAACCCAAAGGCAAAGCACTTACACTTTATACCATGCCAGCAGTGACGCTGAGAATAAGTTTGTTATATATTGACATTCCACAAGCACTGCACAAGAAACAGACACAGAAGCTGAATCTGTGGCTGAATTCAGGCACACAAATATCTGCTTACTTGTATGCACTGTCAAGCGCTGCCTGGACACTTCTGTTCCGTTCTTCAAGGTCTTCCACTTCTGCCTGAAGTTTACCAAGATCCTTTTCCTGCCGCTCTACAACACTGTTCAGTTGTTTAATGCTGTCTCGATGCTGCTTCTCAAGGTCCTCCTTGCCATCAAGCACCTATCGGAGAGCAAACAACAAGCATGAGACTAATCCCAGTACACTGGGCAGACAATGCCATCAAAGGACAATGACAACCGTGGCAACCAGCTCAGGATGAAGTTACACAAAGTGACTAAACCCATCTAACACTTTGCCAAAAGAGAAAGATTTCGCTTCCTTTTGAAGAGGAGGGGGGTCTTCACCACAGTGTCACATATGTCCTCAAACTGAGTCTGCTGCTTCTAAGGTCTTGACTCAACCACTGATGAAGACAAAAAAACCTGCCCAGATTTTGCTGGTACAGGTTTCCCAACTAAAATTCAGTGCACTGAATTTGGTCAGCCCACCTGATAACCAGCAGTGCGAGTGCAAACAAGCAGCTGGAAAAATACCTGATTGTAGCATTAAACTGCTCTGAGAACACAGACAGAAACCACATCGCAGTGTTCCAATAATATGAAACAGAAAAAAGAGAAAATATCAGCCTCTCTAGAGTTTCCCCAAAAGGCTACTCCGCAGCTAATAAAAAAAGGCTTAAAAAAAATTTAATGCCAAATATCTCACCTGTTTTAAATGCTGCAACTCCTCTTCCAATTCCTTAATCTTTTTGTTCTGTTTTGTGTTAATATTTTCTCTCTCTTTCTCTTTGGCTCTTAGTTTCTTAATAATGTTGGAATTGTGCAGCTGCTGCTTGGAAAGTTTTTCTCCTGTGAAGAAAATGAACGCAAAGCTGGTCCATATTGCTGCTATTCTATGAACTCTCTCTATTCACACCTCCCCCTGCTCTTCAGTCCCATGAAAATAACAATCATGTATGTATGGAAACACTTACTCTTACGTTTTTTCATGCAAGCTCTTAAGTTTTAGATCTACCTTATTCTGACATGACCTTGCTACAGTAAGCTATAGTGAGATCGGACAAGCAGTGAAAGGCTTTGAAAGTAAAGCAAATGAGCTCATCATATCAGGAAAAAAAAACAAAACAGCCTGTTCATTGAGCAACTATATTTCGCTTCCAAACTAAAAGGTAGTACAGGAGACACTGCAGAAATGCCTTGAACAAAGCCCTAGTTAGACTTCTGCTGCAGAAATAGGAGCACTGTACTGCAAGCTGGTTTTATCTCACAGCACCTTTCAATGCATACTGCAGAAAGTACCCCTCTAGCCATCTCTGACCCCTCCTGTTGCTATTAATAAATGGTTCAAATGTTCAGAAACATCTAACATGCTCCAAATGGTGTATTTTTCCACACATAAAGAAGGCTCATACGTGAAGGCACTACGTTTCAAACTATTCTACAAACTTTTACTATTAAAAAGAAAATTTTAATCCTCACCTTCCTCCATTAATCCTTTGATTTGCTCTTCTTTTTCTTTCAGTAATTCGGCAGTTTCATTGGTATTAAGTCTAGTAGCTAATTCTTCTTTAACAGTCTTTACTTCCTAAATAATAGGATAAAATACTTAGGACCATTTATTAAAATATATTTAGGGAAAACGCTCAGTAAGTTACACAGATCACCTTTTTCTTCTCCCCTTCCTCTCAAAAGGCTGTTCTTCGAAAACAGTTTAGGTCGGAAGGGAACTCTGGTGATTATCTGATAAAATCAGATTGCTCACAGCCTTATTCCATCAAGTTTTAAAAACCTCCAAGGACTGAGACTCCATAAACGGTCTGTACAATTTGTTCCAACTCCCCCTTCCATTCCACTTTCTATACTTCAAAACTTTTGCAATATAGTAAAAACAAAATGTTATATTCACACACCAGTATCAG